TGTGTGTGTGTGTGTGTGTGTGTGTGTGTGTGTGTAGGCCAGAGATAAACAAACCTTGGGTGTTGTTCCTCAGAAGACATCTACTTTTTTTTTTTGAGACAGGCTTTCTCACTTCTCCAGAGCACACCAGTTAGGCTAGGCGGGCTGCTAGCAAGCCCCAAGGGTCTGCCTTCATGGCCTCCCAACCCTGAGGTTACAAGGGATGCATAGAGCTTTATGGGTACTTGGGACCAAACTCAGGCCTTTGTGCCAACAGGACAAGAAAACATTTCACTGACTGAGTCATCTCCCCAGACCCCACCCCCAATCCCTTCTGTTTGTTTTTTGGTTGGTCCAGTCTGGCGTAAAACTCACTTTCCTCCTGCCTTGCCCTCCTGAGTGCTGGGGTTACTATAAGAACCTGTCTTTATAGAGCAGAGAGTGTGGAGCAGGTATCAGCACACACTCTGGAAAACATCCTAGCAGTGCTCACCTCAAAGGACTGGAAGGTAAGCCCCACGTGAAACCCGTCCGACACCGTGATCCTCCACACACACTCCTTGGAAGGCCTGTAGTCGTCAGGGTAGTTGGGAGATTGAATCTGGCCTGCATCTTTGGTTATGTCTCCCCCACACATGGCTTTAGAGAGAACACAAGAAAAAAAAAAAAGGATCCTTGATCGCCTTACAAACACAGGTGAACGGCTACTGGTTGCCACAAGGTGGCTCCAAGAGCCAGCGTTTTTCTCTGGCCTTAACAATACTGGCCTTGGGAAAGTTGAGTTTTAACTCTGGATAGCCATGTAGCTACCCAGAGAAAAATCTGGACTGTCCAAATTTTCAATGCATCAAGGCAAAGTGGGGCTTTGCTATAATTCCAGTTCTGTTTCTTTCTGAGACGGGAGAATTAAGACACACAGAAGCTGCTCTAGGGTGACTTCACAGCCCTTCTCTTGCATGAAATGGGTCATCTGGATAGCACCACAGTTTCTTTTCTCTGATGAAGCAAGAGTCCAGAGATGTCAGGCCCCCTGCTTGAGCTCATTCAGGTGTCCAGTTGCCACTGCCATCTCTACAGGACTCTATACCCCGATGCCTTTCATATCCCAGCTGGATTGAGAGGAGAGCTCACTGGGCTTGTGACAGTGGAAGGTTGAGTGGAAGAGCTCAGCACACTTGGCCTTTGCCTTCCAAGTGTGACAGAGGGAGTGTGCAGTCCTTAGCTCAGACCCTATGATAAGAGCTTGATTCTCTAGCAAGTTGTCCCATACACCTGGGAAGGAAGCAGGCTGCTCTAGACAGATGCTTCTCAGTGGCCACCCGCCCGACTGCTTTATCAAGAACAAACCTTCATATACAGCAAAAAAGCCCTTGCCCACGATGCTGCTGCTGCTACGGAACTCCACCCAGAGTCGGCTGTCTGAGGAGACAAGGGGCTCAGGTATCTTATCGCCACAAAACCTCCCTGGAAAGAGAAAGGACTGTTAGGTCACTGTGGACATCAGGCTCACCTCACCACAACCTGAAGGAAAGGTGGGAAGTAGGCAATGACCCTCAAAGGGACAGCTGGCCCTGCAGTCCACAGAGAAGCAAATATGGGCTCAAGAATGGTACATCTGTAAGCCCATGAAGGACAAGTCTGGATTCCAGGCACTCAAAGTACAAGAGAGAGGGCAAGTACCTTCCCTGCCACGCTGATCCTGTGGCAGATCTTGTGGTGGTCCCAGCGGTAGAGAGATGATGCTGAGCTATTGATGATGGTTATTGTTTTGTTTTGTTTTGCCTGACAATTCTGAAGACACACATCCTTCCCTTTGGGGCCCTGGGTACTCTGTTACCTTTGGCTTGGGAAGTAGGACCAGAGACCAAGAAACCAAAGCTTCCTTGCATTTGAACTAATACAAGACCAGATGCAATACTGAAGGCCCGGAGTTAAAAAAAAAAAGAGTGGCTTTCCCAGACTGATGGTGCAGAGAGACCCAGAGGGGAAGAGAGAGAGACTGGGATGAAGAACTTTGGAGGTATATCATAGAGCCCCTTAAGAATTGATTCCACATCCTCTTCCTCTAAGCTAAGACTGTGACTCAGGCAGGTTGATACAGACCACGATGAGACTGAAAGATCTGAGAGAAGAGGAAATAGTGTTGCCAGTCCCTGGAGAAAGCCTAACAGGTTAATAAGGCCCAAGAGCCCCGTGTTCTTTCTCGGTTCCAGTACGGAATTGTCTATATGGCTTGTCCAGACCTTTGTCCACGACACAGCCATGCAAAAGTTCCCCATCCCAAGCCTGATGTAACATGGAAGCATGACTTCTGACTCCTGAGCAGGTATGGAGGCCACTTTCCCACAGTTCACAGGCCTTTGGGTAGCTGTAGATTATCTCACAAGCTTGGAGGAAGGTCTATGTGGACCTGGGTGTCACCTGAGCTGCCTTGAGTTGAGACAACATGGAAACATCAGCCACCGAGCTACAGTTTAAGCCCAAGGTCTCACTATGTAGCCCAGGCTAGCATCATAGTCACTAAGTAGCCCAGGCTGGCCTCAAGCTTGCTGAATCCTCCTGCCTCAGACTCTCAAGTACTGGAATTATAAACACGTGCCACTATAACCAGCTCTCGAGTTTTAAAAAAGGCGGGCACTTTAACCCTCAGTGTATGGAAAGTCCTGGTCGAGGCACTAGACAGGACAATTATGTTTCACTCATCTGAGAAAAGTGGAAAGGCATAAGGCTGGGGACAAATTTGGTGCCACCATGGCCTTTTCCAGATGGTCAGCTCTGGTTTTAGATTCTTTGAGGAAAAACAGGGTTGAGAGCTTCCAGTCAGCTCTGCTTCCTCCTGGTTCTGGCTATCTCTAGCCATTTGGATTTGGTCTTCCTATTCGGTGAAGTAAAATTTTTGTTAAGACTTTGGCAAGGAAAACTACAGTGGAAGCATTGGGGAAATGGCTCTGTGTAAGCATTAGGATGGAAATTTGTGCCCCGGGAGTGATGTAAGAAAGCTGGGCATGGTGGTGTGTTCTTATAATTCTCACACTAGAGAGGCAGAGTCTCACTGGCTAGCCAGCCTTAAGGTGGGTGGTATCTGAAGAATGACACCCAGTGGGGGGTCCTACCTACATATGCATACATGCTCCTGAATACATGGTCACCCATGCACACACAGCATGCACGCACAGTATGCACGCATACACTCGAAGATAAAAACAGACTGGAGGCCGACACACTTTGGGAGTGGCATCTATGGTATACATGCTTATTGTGATGAGTTTTTAGAAAACAACAGGTAAGCAGGAGGGAGCGTCATGTTAAACACGAGGGAGCACCGTGTTTTAGCAAGAGGGAGCACTGTGCAGTCCGACCACAGCAGCCCTAAGCAGGACTCCTTCACCTGGCTCAGGTTTCCAATCTGTGTTTCCTTTTAAAACCCTGGCTGCCACAGTCACTGAGGACTGATTCCAAATGAGAGGGGGGAGGTCTACATTCTGTTACCTATGGACCTAACTCAAGAGAAGAACCGTCTGTCACCTCTGCCACAGGGTGATCCACCCCTGTCCAGCCCGGGTGGGTGTATTGTTCTGCCTAGGCAAATATCACACATCTCTCTGTAACTCTCACTTGACATCTCAGCCTTTGTCTTGTCAGCATCGAAGCTGTAATCAATGTCCCCCTTTGTCACTGACTGTGTCTGTGTACGATCCTATCTGAAGCATTTCACACGGACTGCCTCAGTTCATCCCCACTGGTTACAGTTTGGATCCTAAATGTGTCCAGAAAGCTCCTGGGCTGAAGGTCTGGGTCCCAGTGTAGTAATGACCATATGTAGGGCCTTGGGGGGAGGGGATTCTGAACCTTGAGGTCTCAAGCCTTATTGATGGATTAATCCATTCATTGATAGACTCGTAGCTTAAGGGCTACTTAGAGGTGGGAGAACTAGATAAATGAAAGCTTCTCCTCAAAGAATATTCTCCCCTTGTCTCATACTCTCATGTCACTATGAAGCGCCAGCAAATTCTTTTCCCTGCCAGGTGCTTCTGGTCTTGTCACCAAATTGAAAGCAATCAGGTCAAGTGACTATGGACTGAAACTACAAGCTTAAATAAACCTTTTCTCTTTCTGGCTAATTCCCCTCAGTTATTTTGTCACCACAAGGCAAATTTGACACAAACACAGTTTTTCCCTGAATCAGGTACTGTTATTATCCCCATTTCACAGATGAGAAAAGTGAGGATGAGAGCATTTGTCTGAAGTTGGAGGTGGAAGCAAGATTTGAAGCTTGGCAGTTAGAGATCCAGACTTTTGGGGCCACTATCACCATCACCACCACCACCATCAAAAGGAACTGGGGTCTAGTTCTGAACACTGTGCAGTTTTATATACAATATCGAAGTGCTTCCTGGGAATGAAAGTGCCATGTTCCCTTTCCAGCTCAGAATAAGACGAGCACAAAAGATCACTAAGCACATTTGTGCCAGTGCCAGGCTTGGCTGTTGGCCTACACTATCACTTCTGTTCATTTGGGAAATTGCCCTTGCCCAGGAAGCCTCAGTAGTGGGGCCACGCGACTCGATGGACCAGCCTGACCTTTCTAAGCTCCCCTCCCCTTTCAAGGAAACAGGATAAGGGGCTTTTGTGTATATTGTGGAAACACCAAATGCCAAGGCAGTTCTGCTGACAAAAATATGATGCTTGGGACTGCTTCATCTAACAGCAATGGGGAGGGGAATCCATGTTGAAGGACAGTGTTTAAGATTATTGGCTGGTTCTTCTGTCACCACCCCCCAGCCCCGACATATACCCTGTTAAAGGTAAGTGGCCCCTGGCACAGAAACCCCATCTGTGACTCTTAACCAGCTATGAAGTATTCTCATCTATAATTGTCTTTTGAACCCAGTAAGTGCAAACCTGGGTCACAAACAGCCTCCCTCGGAAGAGCCCGGGCAGGCTATTGGAAAACAGTCAGGGAGAGGTGTCAGTTCCTAGACCGAAATCTGGTTCCTGGGTTTAGAAGCGTTTAATAAGGATATCAAGAAGAGGAGATGCAGATGAGGACACTCCAAGTGGGCTCTGCGGGGAGTCATAAAGGGTCCATTCATAAAAAGTTATGCACGCATTATGCCTGGATTTTCACACACTGCCCTGGGAAAGAAAATGTGATGCAGAGGTTTTCAGAGCAAAGATGCCTACTTTACAATCCACCCTAATCCGCTCTCCCTCCTGCCAAAAGGGCCTTGACCTGCCTCCCAGCAGCAGATTTCATGGCATTGACCCCTCCCAGGGACCAGCTTAGCCAACACAATGCACTTGTTCCAAACACAAAAATTCACTAACGACTGCATTTGGAAACATCAGAGCAGACCAAATAGTTGGCAAAGGAGGGTGCCTGCAAATGAAGAGTGATGGTCCAGGCACCCGGCCATGCCTTGGCTGCAACACTATGTGTGTGTGTGTGTGTGTGTGTGTGTGAGAGAGAGAGAGCACGCACGCGCACACAGACACACACACACACACAGAGACAAAGAGACAGAGACAGAGGGACAGAGACAGAGAGAGACAGAGAGACGGAGAGGCAGAGATAGAGAGACAGAGACAGAGTGACAGAGAGAGAGATAAAGAGAGAGATAAAGGGAGCAATAATTCAGGTAAAATATGACTACTAACTCTACCCCCCCCCAAATCAACCCGAGCCATCACTATTACCAACTAAACTGACAAACCACACAAGTCCCATTCCAGTACTGAGCACAGCAGAGACACCAGGATCCCCACTGAGAACATTCCTGCTTGCCATTTGAGCAAAGGGACCGCCTGGAGACCAGCCCGTGTCCACTCTCTGGAGCGTGCCTTGGCTCTCTCTGGGAAACTTTGGCTCCTTCCTCCCATGGCTTTAGTCTAGCCCATTCCTGGGGTGTAGGGCTGCCAACCTCGGCAAGCAGAAACACAGGAAGCCTGGTTAACTTTGACTCCCAGATAAACAACACATGGACTGTTTCGTCTGACAACATGGGAGGGAAGGACTGTCAATATTCAGCAGTCACCTGTCCCCTTCACCAGGACATCGGAATTCTGGTTTGACTTCAGTCACTGGCTAGCTGTGAGGCCTTGTGAGGACCTTGGCTTTCCCGCACCATCAGGGATTCAGTGACTTGAAGTTATCCGTCAGGTTGAGGGTCTTCGATTCCCACGGATGAAGCTCATCCCACACAGCTTTTGTAAAATGTGACTGTGGAGGACCCAGACAGTAGACAGGTGTACAAGACACAGCACGATGCTGCCCACCACCCTAATGCTTCCTGGCTTGGCAGCGACCAGTCCATCCCTGGAAGAGCATCATTTCTGTGTGTTTGGTACTAGACAGGACTCACGAGAGGCCAACTTGATTATTTGTTGACGCACTTTTGTGAGTTCTGCTTAAGTTGTATTACAGGAGTCTTACCCAGAGGTATTTTCCAGTTTAAAAACCCCGGCTCCCAGGATCCCAGCCTTGTTGGGTAGGGGTTGGGGAGCTGGGATGCTTACATGTGTGTAGATGTACTTGCACATGTATGTGGATGCAATTTGATGTATATCTAGGTACATGTGGGGCCAGAGAACAACCTCATGTGTCTTCCTGACTCGCCACCTTACTTTTTGAGGACAGGGTCTCTTGCTGAATCTGGACCTCATTGGTTCAATTAAACTGGCTGGCTTGGGGGTTCTAGGGACCCACCTAGTTCCACTACTGCCCCCTAGTACTGAAATATAGACATACACTACAGTGCCTGGTTTTTTATGGAGGCGCTAGGGATCCAAACACTGGTCCTTATACCAGTGCAAAAGTACTTTCCTTGCTGAGTCACCTCCTGCCCCACACCCTGCCATTTTGGCACACCTGACCAATGCTGCCTGTGCCCTAGATCTCTGACTGCCACTTCCACGTCTGTTCCTTTTAGGCAAGAAACAGAACCCAGTGCAGACCAGCTCTACCCTGTCTTGGGCAGTATAACCACTTGTCTATGCCCACATTCCCATGGATACTTCCAGGGAGAACTTGACTTGTGCATCTGGACTAGGAACTACCTGATGGGTATTTTTTTTCCCAATAATGGCACACAGACCTAGCTGCTCCTAGCACTTTGGAGCATCTAAGGACACAAATTCCCACCTGTTTGTACCCTTGGGAAATTAAACTCACATCTTTCTAGATACAGGCATTTGTGGGCTATATCCATTGATAGCTGAAGACTACAGATTACTCATGCAGAAGACTACAGGTTCCCTAGAGACAGACGATCCTGTCTGGTGTGACTGTCTCATCCTGGTCTCCCAGGATCTAACACATCAGGGCATTCTTTCTCATGACCGTCTACAGCCAACTTCCCAGCAACAGCTCCTTCCCAGGTTCATCACTGGCAGCACGACAAGTGTGGCTTTTCTATTCATATGAAGGAACACGGGGGACCAAGTTATCACTAAAACCTTGGACTTCACCAGGCCAGGAGGGCATCATTCTGATCGTCCTAGCAATGAGGATACCCCACTCTCAACTGCAACACTTTCATCTGCCTCTTTGTTAGTCTGTCTCTCTCTGAAGCTCCGTTATAGCTGTCCTCTGCAGGCCAATGAGTCCCAGACTCAGCTCCCAAAACCCAAGACCACTGATTCTAGACAATATTAATCTTCTCTGATCGTCAAGAGAAATCTCTCACGGGAAGCCTTTCTCTTTTTAGTGTCTTCCTGTGATCTTTCGCTCAAAGGTCCAAGATGCCTTTGGTGGATGAGTCTGTACTCTTGTCTACTCCACAGAAGTAATCCCTGCCCATCAGAAACTCTGGAAGAGATAACCAAGCCAAGAGCAGAATAGAAATACATACACACACACACACACACACACACACACACACTCCTCTAAAATAACCACTATGGGTTCTTTACATCTCTAACTTTATTTGAGATTTATATTGTAAATTATAAAATGACCGTTGGATTCAGTCCATGCAATGGTTTAAGTAATTTAGTTTTGACAGTTTAAGACAGCACAGCTGTGCTCCTTACTTTATTAAACCGGCCCTGTTCCTCTCACTTCTGCCTGTGACAGCCGCTAACTGCAATTCCTGCAGTTAGGAATTCCTGCATCTTTACGTACATGCATGTGTTTGAAATAATTCTGTTTACACCACTCTGTAACATACTGTGCGCAGGTTACAGAGTGCTGGGAAAATCTCTCTGTATCGATATACACTCCCCTCCAGCTTTATTTTTATTGGATGGGAATTTTCGGTTGCAAAGGTGTGTCATGATTTACTCTGCTACGCCCCGCTGCTGAACATTTAAATTGCTTTGATTCTTCCCGCTTCAGTGCACCTCCCTGTCGCTGGAGCTTTGCACACTTCCCTAATTAGTTCCCTAGGAGACATTCCAAGGAGTGGAATTGCTGGGTCATAAGGCGCTGACAGTTTTTAAAAGCCTTTAGCATGTGTGGCCAAATGGAGTGGTCAGAGTTTTACAATGACAAGAGCGCCCGAGAGCTTCCTGTACCAGCTGCCACAGGGAACCTTCCCGATAGGGAGAGCCTCCCAAAGAACACACCCCATCTCTCACTCTCTGAACACCGATGTCCACTCACCCAACAGGGGGGCCTTTCTCCAGTAACCATCCCGGATTTCCACGTAATCATACCAGCACAGGCGGCTCTTAAACAAATCCATGGAGGTGAAATTTAGGATGATCTGTAAAGAATTACCATAAAGTACATTTGAACAACAAAGCCTGAAGAGTTCTGAAAGGCGCGTCTTACATGCCGATGTTCTCATGTTACCCCTTAGCATACAGAGCCCTCAGACCGCAGTAGGAACATCTTCTCAAAACACACACACACAGGAAGTCTCCTGACATCAAATAATAAACCGTAGGCGGGCTGGGGAGTAAACAGAGGGAGATGGGTCCTTTAGTTCTGTCTGGGGAGTCACTTGAGCTTTTGAAGTTGCTAGGTGGTTTACAGAAAGCAAGATGCGTTTAAAGATATGCTAGGGCAAGTTGAGACTAGGGATTTGGGAGGAGGTAAGGGGTCAGTGAGGGTCAGAGATACGAAAGGATCTTGTAACATCATCAATCATTCCAGAGGGTCTGGGGTTAGCTCAAGTGCATCCGAGCACAGCTGCGATCAGCATCCCTCAATCAGGACATCCCATTCCTGAAGTGGTATCATCTCCAAAAGCCTTCCTGAAGTCAGTCTACCCCTTCAGTTCTGCCATCTCCTGTTCTTACTGGTTGGCCACTTACTGTGTGTTACTGTGCTGTTTCTCTTCAATGTCTCCTCCTGATGGCTACCGTTGGCACAATCCCCAGACTACCCAGCTTTCCACAGCTTATAGCTCAGGTTTTTCAGACTGATCCTACCCCATGCTTAGAAAACTCCTAAAGAAATCTTATTAGTCAAACCTGCCTTATTTTCTAGACTTTCCAAGGCCAACCTGTGCCTCTTTCTCAGTGCTCTATAGGTTATAAAAGTCCTCACCGGGCCCAGGTAAGTGCCCCACGGTAAGTCCGTGCACAGATGGAACCACATGATATTTGATCTTTAGGAGTCCCCATGCTCTTTCCCTCTCAGGGGTGTTTAATCAGACAGGTTTGGCCTCACACCTCAGCTCTGCCCCTCACTGGCTCTAGAATCTTGAGGAAGTACTCGACTCTCTCATCTGGAAGACAATGTGCACACCACCAGGTTGTGAGAGAATCTGCATACAGAGTGGCTAGTGCCATGTCTGGCTGTGTCTGGCATGCAGGAAGTACTTCAAAAGCACACTTTTAAAAGTCAGACTACACTGAGTGTGTCCTTAGCATATCACAGCTGACATCCCACAGTCCCTCACAGGCCTTTCTTTCTATCGAGATCGTCACTGAGAGCGCCCACTCCTTCCCCAGGGCCAATCCCCATCCAGTGAGATTCTTCCACAGAGCCCAGTGGTCTCCTAGGAAATAAAGAATGAATGCTATGGAACAGCAGATGGGGTTGCATGTGGGTGTGTGAGTGCCATGGGCGTGTCTGTCAGATGCCTAGGGAGTGAGGAACCCACGCTGAGCGGCATCTTAAACTGAGGTGTCCCTGGGTTTCTCTCAATTTTGCATCATGCTTGTGATGAGGTGGCGGGGTTCAGGAATGCTTATAAGCTGGCCCCACAAGAATTCTTTAGTCTCTGCTCTTTTAAGATTACAGTGAGGAAATGTTAGTAAAACTTCCTTGGAAACACATTCATGGTCTGACTGAGAGGGATAATTATTCAGGCTGATTATTTTAAGTATGTTAGTGAACCATAAAGACCATCGGGGGAAGAGGTGATGAGCGAGAGGTGCTCTGAGAGTCAATCAGTTTGCTAATTACCAGCAGCTCTGGGGAAGGCCGGGTGAAGCAGAAATGGGAATAATTGTAGGAATTTCAGTGATGTGTGTTCTCTGTGCCCCCAGTGAGCACTAATAATTGAGACTTAGTGAAGCTTACATGGTTCAAACATATCACACAGTCCTGCTGTGCAGCAAGTCAACAATGTGGGGATTACCAGGCCCCTCCTCCTCTCCCTCCTCCTCCTCTTCCTCCTCCTCCTCTCCCTCCT